CCCCCTATTTGGCTCCGCCACTGTTATCTAGTCATATAAATATTTGCACCAACAGTGGAATATTAGGTCATTTGAGTGCTTGACCAAGCGTTATGAAATTTTTGCAGGCAGATAGTGATTTTAAATTTGTGTAGATAAAAAAGTAAAGTTTACCCGCATGTTATTGCCAGACCTTGACTGAAATCAACATTAGAATATAAACCGAGGCAACTCTGAACGAGATCTCTACATTCTGTAAATAAAATGACTGTCAGTTAAACATTGAATGATTTTTAATATCTGTTTCTACAACTTTCTGTTCGTAAATAGGTATCAACATATGATTAATCCTATCTAACTTGCTAGCAGATTGTAGCAAGATAGGTTAGCAGTCAGCATGTATGTTTCAGTTTAATACTTTCTATAGATGAATATCAATAATCTGATAAGAAGATGAGTACAATGTATAACTTTATCTATAACATAAACATAATCGTTAATAATTTACCTGTTTGTATTCCTGTCGGTGTTGGTAAAGTTCCTCCAGGCAAGTTCATGCTACCTGTAAAAATAATACATACTACTTTAGATTCTCAATAATGAATACATCACGATTTGAATATAGTTATAGCCGTAAGGGTCTTGACATTTTAGTGAGTTATGAAAGCGAGCCGTCGCGCTAAAGGACGCCTGCTCCAGAAAGATTCGATTGAAATAGGTAGCAGTTAACGATATAAACCCATCACTATACATAAACATATTTGTCATCCAAATCTACAAATCCTCATTAATATGTGTACAAAAAGAATGGGGAAACTTATCTAACGTTCAATGCAACCACGAATAAAAAAAAAAATCTACATACACACTTTACGGACTTGGGTCTGAGCTCTAGCCAGATTGGTTCGGGTTCTCGCAATATCAGGTAAAGTTGATGAACAATGATTAACCAAATTCTCCAAACAAAGAACCATTTCATTTAGATCTCTGTCGACAAAAAAAACATAAACATGAATATTGATAACGATGATTAGCTTAACAAAGTTAAGAGAATAAGGATCCTGGTTTATTTGTTAATATTAAGGAAGTTGTTTTACTGTCAAGGATGTCCAGAAACACCAATATTCTCTAATCCTGGGATATACTGAAAATGTTTGTTTTCTGTTGATCTATTGCCAGCCCATGGCCGTTGTCATGGTTTACAGATCGCCGTTTGATATCCAAAAGCGATCATCAAAGAATGAAATAAATAACTGCATTTAACAAGGATCCCAACTACCTTTGTTCCTTAAGGGTGGGTTTCTTTGTTTTTTGTAGTGTCAAATTAAGCAAACTATTCGATTAATTGGTGTTTTAATGAACTATCATGTATTCTTAAGCAAATCATTATGTTCTTATTGCATATAATTAAGAGTTTTAACCAATCATTAATGTCCATGTATGTACAGTCTGGATAAACAAAAAAATACTTTTTGACCTTTCTTGATCGGTCACTGATTGGAATTCTGCTGGTAATTTTCTCCTAATATAGCTAATTATGAATTAACTTTGAACATATGAGTCATTATAACACCTCTACTTTCTATTCATATAAGTATTAGCTTTTTTTTTCATAAATAGAAATAAGGGAGCCCATCTTTAAACAAACCTCTTGAAATTGATCTTTCCAAGATCATGTGTACTCATGTAAAGCTGGATCGACTGGACTTGTGAATGAAGATGACTTTTTTTAAGGTCATTGGACTTTCACATGCCAATACAAAACACAAAAACCTGGATCTTGTCTTTAGACTTAAATCTTTAAAAACAACTTACCCACACATCACAGATAAGTCGCCAGAAAACTGAAACCGACCAACCATAGCTACACATTCCTGTGACATCGCTCTACATTCTGAATATAATAATAACTGTGTAAGTATACCTTCCCTTAACTTTGAAAAATAACATGTTTAAATTAAGCAATAATCAATCACCCTAATTCAACAACAAGAAACCACTCTTCAGACAGTAAATATAACTTTTAATTCATCGCATTTGAAAGGACAACAAAAAACTTTCCTTTGTCTGTTGATTTCGATCTTGATTCGACCTAATCAGGAAAAATGTTTGTGTGCGCCTTTATTCCTTGATATATTTTCAAATACTTATATCATACTTTAACACAGAGTTTAAACTTGATGTCATGGAGAACAGTTATGAGCATATTGTAATGTGGCGCCAGGTAGGGTATGTTTATTCTTCCAGACACATTATACCACTTGTCCTTATGAAATACTTCCTCATATATTTTTTCACGTCAAAAGTTCATTGGCTGCTACCAATGTTTTGCCGTATGTAGTTTAGATTTTGGCTTTCTTTTTGCGCTTCGGCTCGCCAGTGCTTGTTTTCTTTTACAATGTAAACTGGATTTGAATAAATTACTTACCAGATTCAAGGTCGCGCTTTGCTGTAGCTATAAAACAGATGATAAATTGATGTATATGAGCAAGATGAGCTGGAATTGAACTGGCTGTATCTCGTGGTTTTCACTTAAATAGAAGTGGCGGTTGTCTTGCTAAGCAGACCTAGCTTACTCTTATCGAAACAACTGATGGTACTTCTCTTTGGAGGAGTCCACTATTATACTACTTTTACTCCTGATTTTGCCATTCTTTGGACAAGATATTTGATTGACAAAATTGTCTTGCTTGTACGGATTTTTATTCAAAACGAAAGGAAATGAAATGAAAAAAAATACCTTCAAGTTCTTCGGTGTTACCACCTACAATAAAGAATACCAGTATAAAATATATATCTTTGATTTAATAACATTCAATACATAATAAGACCTCTTAACATTTTTTTCATATTGCTCACCCTAGTCAAATAAAACAGTTTAATACAATGTTTGTGTTATATACGCCATGATACGCTATATAATAACATAGTGTTATATATAACTACATAATATAATGTATGTATAACAAAATGTAGCCACGTATAACATTGTGAAGCAACAAATATAATTACACTTATGGCATAGAACAACAATGTTTGTGCTATATACGTCATGATACGCTATATAATAAGATAGTGTTATATATAACTATATAGTGTGTATCCATAATTACAAACATGTCATACAGCAACATAATTATATTTACATAAAAATCATAGAAATCTACTCACATCGTTCGTTGTATAAGGATCTAGCATCTGCTATTTTCTGTTTAGCTCCATTATAATTTGGTATTATATGTTGACATAGATCAATACCCTCATCGTTACATCGAATATTCCTATCTAAAACACTGAAAGAACAATAGTTTATGCATTAAATACATAACGGGGAATATCACGCATTATAGATCGTTTAATACGTGTAACAAAAAACATGGCAACATGTTCTAGGATTTTCTGAGGTGGAATATGAAGCTATCAATGTCTCTTCCATGACTAGAAATCACCTTAAGATTTGACTTACATTCTTATATTTTCGGACCGACCTGGCGTTATGGTGTACATTCAATGATGATAATGATAAAGGTAAGACAGAAATTACACCTGATACTTACTCACAATCTGTTATTTCATGAATCTTGTCAAACGCTTTCTGTCCATAATTTCTTTCACAGCGTTGAAAATACAGTACACATCCTAGAATACATACAGTATAATATAGCTAGTTATTATATTAACACATAAAATAGAACACAGTCTAGAGAACAGCACACAATCTGATATTGATACATCTGTCGGCCCAGAAACATGTCTATATCTATATAAGACATCATGTCACCAAATCATTTGTAAATACCAGTCTTTTCAAAATTCCCTGTCAAACAATATGAGACCGAAAGTTAATACTTTATTTCTCCTCTTCCATAGAACTAATGTCCGATGAGGATGACATTTTCAGCCAAAACAAAAAAGAAAAAAAACAAAACAAAAACGCTTATTTCCATGAAGTACTTCATACACAAGATGAATGACAACCCCCAAACTCCTGATTACAATCAAATGGTTTACAGTGTCTTTCTTTCGAGCTGACAAAATTAACAATGGAGATAAGCTGGAAGAACTGAAGGACAGTATAAGGAAGAAATGAAATAAAATACTACTTGAACAAATCGGAAAGGCATTATCTTGTCATGGAGAATGGAATTTGGTGATTTTGTGCTGAAAATGGGAGCTGTATTGAGTATTAAAGGAACAATTTTAGTAGTTACTTTCGCATTATAATTTTGGAGAAGGAATGTTAGAAAACTGTAATTTGGTGCAAAGATGTCTTACATCCCTACAACTATAAGATATTATGATCATAGCTTTGATCCTTCATGAGAAATCCTAAATTGAAAAATTGAAAAATCTGGGCCACCCGATGTATCAACACAAACAAAACACACTAGAGAGTATAGCACCCACCTGTGGCGGCAGCAGAAATTTGGACTGGGGGGGAGGGAGAGCCATGGACATATATGTAAATTAGAGGGTTTAAATCCCACATTTTATGCAATTAGAAAGGACAATATCATTTGAAAAATAATTGTAACTGTCTAAAATACACATCAAATAAATAAAAACAAATAAACTTACGGAAATTATCTAGTCTTCTTTTAGACATCGACCTTTCACCTACAACGATATCAAAATTCTACTGTCAAATCTTATAGTCATATTCTGGTAGTTCAATCGCCATTGAGTAATTTCAAATGGTAGGTAAAATATTTTATGAATTTTGATTTAATCAGAAACCACCGAAGCCCTCCCTGTTGACCACATATTCATAACACGTATTCGTAAATATAGCACCCAATCTGACAAACATACGTCATGAAATAAAGCAGAAACTTACCAAAGTTATCCATATTCCTTTCAGACACTGATCTTTCACCTACAAAATAATGTTTCAATTGTAGTGTAAAAGCGCACACTGAGGTTGACACAATCGCCAATGGATCATTTCAGATGGCTCACAGAAGAATATGATAAATCATAACAACAACAAAAAACACATATAAAGTCAATCTGTCAAAATGCTATTTAATAACACAACACCATACATAACAACATACAGTCAGGTCCATAACGTATCTAAGAATGTGTAGCCACGTATAACAGTATGTAGCCACGTATAACAGTATGTAGCCACATATAACAGTGTGTAGCCACATATAACAGTGTGTAGCCACGTATAACAGTGTGTAATTACATATGACAGTGTGTAGTTACGTATAACAGTGTGTAGTTACGTATAACAGTGTGTATTCCGTATAACAGTGTGTAGTTACGTATAACAGTGTGTAGCCACATATAACAGTGTGTAATTACTTATGACAGTGTGTAGTTACGTATAACAGTGTGTATCCACGTATAACAGTGTGTATTACGTATAACAGTGTGTAGTTACGTATAACAGTGTGTAGCCACATATAACAGTGTGTAATTACTTATGACAGTGTGTAGTTACGTATAACAGTGTGTAGCCACATATAACAGTGTGTAATTACTTATGACAGTGTGTAGTTACGTATAACAGTGTGTATCCACGTATAACAGTGTGTATTACGTATAACAGTGTGTAGTTACGTATAACAGTGTGTAGCCACATATAACAGTGTGTAGCCACGTATAACAGTGTGTAGCCACATATAACAGTGTGTAATTACTTATGACAGTGTGTAGTTACGTATAACAGTGTGTATCCACGTATAACAGTGTGTATTACGTATACCAGTGTGTAGTTACGTATAACAGTGTGTAGCCACATATAACAGTGTGTAGCCACGTATAACAGTGTGTAATTACATATGACAGTGTGTAGTTACGTATAACAGTGTATATCAACGTATAACAGTGTGTATTCAAGTATTACAATAATAAATAAATAAAGATATATTGTTATAAATGCATTTCTATTTTCAAATGTTAATTCATGTGTTTATTGAAGAGCGGATAGAAATGAATTACTTATTCAGAATTAAAAAAAAACGTAACATGATCTTGACTGATATAAGGTATAACAATCTTCAATAAATAAAATCACCATATTCTATAATCAATAAACAGATTGATACGTAGTTCACATTATCGAATCGGGGATGAAATTCATTAAATCAAATGGGCTTTTATTTTTAGAGAGGAGTAGTGTTATTCGCGAGCTTCTATTGAAAATCACGTGTATCATGAATATTTATGACCTCGATACCTTATACAATATCAACCTGCTAAAATAAAACATGTTAGAAATTATGTGTAATAGTTTCGGACGTGTTGAAGAGACAATTGATCAAAACAAACCCATGTAAAGAACATATCGAAGCTTTGCATAGTGGTAAATATAAATTGTAAATAAAACTCACTAGATCGTGGAATCAAACCTTCATCCTGACCTAAAACATAAAAATATAACCAATGAATTCTGTTAAAAGTGACTTTAATATCAAAAGAATAAATAGTAATATTTACAGAGCCCGAAATATCTGTCTCTATTCAAGCCTCTGATAGAATTTCAGTTATCGGTTAAAGTAGACCAACCTACAACTTTAGCTTTCAAAGGTTGGAATAGAGACAGATGTTTTGGTCTATATTTCAAGATGACGAATTATAACCGGTTTCGTTATTTTAATTCTATTAAATTACCAAAGAAAGAAGGTTCCATTTGAGATATTTTCTTTGGGTTGCAATTTTCATGAATTTTGGTCCAAGGCAATGATAAGTTTGATCAATAAAATTCTTCATTCAGCACCAGATTATTATCTGTCATAACCACAATGGTTACCAGCCAATACACTACATAAAATTTAGCAAATTGATATTCACAATACAGTGAAAGGATGTCTGGAGCTACTGGAAGGACAACTAAATGACCAAAATGGGAAACTTCAAAGGAACAGGTTCGTCATCGGTTGGATCAATCGTATTTTTGTCTCAGAAACGGGCATTCTTTTGCTAAGCTAATCAGTAACAGTGTCCATAGCCCACCGTCGAAATTTAAGCCTTCAAAACCATGTGTGAATTATCCGACAATTATCCGAGTTTGAAAGAAGACTCGTATTTTCTTGAAACTATGCCATAAAATGGCCATATATAAAATATAGAAATAGAAAATGAGATTCCTAGCTGAGGTATTTTTGAATGAATTATGCGAATTTCTAGTACTTCTGATTACTATTTAAATATATGCATGACCCAAATCAACCCCCGAAAATATCGAACCTGTCCCTTTAAACGCTTTGTGCAGTAACTGTGTTCTTTGTCACTGTAAAGTTAGAAACTGGTTTCAGACTTTGGCTTCTTTTATAGATAACTTAATTTTCAAATACTAGGAGAATTACCGAAATTGTAACCTCCTGGTAAAACTTACATTTTTCATACATAGGTGGAACAACCTCAACATATGAGTTATATGTGCCTATATGTCTATTGTCTGTTACTGCGTTACATGTCCTATATAATGCTTGAAAACAATGGATCACTTCAAGAACCTTCCTATAATAATACAATGATACATTACAAAATGCAAAGCTCGTCAAAGTGGCTCAACGAGATGTGTTGGGGGCCGTGGGTTTAAGTAGGATGAGGCTCTTCTGAAAGTCTATTTAATGCCTGTTAATACTATATTCTGGTGGTAGAGGCCCTTGGACGTGGTTAAACCAATCCCTATGGTAGTTTTAGACACTACTAACTACCTGATGCTACGCTCATGACATAACTAAGAGAGTTGATCTATATGAAGGGGTTGAAAGGTATTTTGTCATTTAGTGCTTTAAGTAAATCCATTTTTTGCCATAGCGGTGTCAAAATTTCTTTTTTTCGGAAAATGGCACAAATTAAAGCTAGTCTTCCACTCAGCACATACAAAAACGAAATATCCTTCTTTTTTCATTTTTGTTCAGACAATAAGCACGTATTTATTATTAAGATTTTTTTGATGATCTGTACAAAATACAAAACGCCAATCTCTGTAACAACGATGCTCTTTCCGTGAGGTTGCTGTCGGGTTTTGAGTATCAAACAATTTGTCGGGGCGGGCTTCGCGTTCGAACATAATGATGATTATTCTAATGTAAAATGTATTGTCGATACTTACGGACATCTGATAGCAGCAGGAGTATTGATATTAATACTTTCTATAATTTTAGTACATTGCAGTCCACCATTCACACATTCTGACACAGTTTCTACAATATCAATAGAATAATAGATATGATTACCCACGTACAGTTCGCCTACACTACATCAGCTACTAGCTACTTGAAAACACATGTCTATAGCAGTGATATTTCTACGAGGGTAGAGTGGGGGCATTTTCCCCTAGAAAATACTTAAAGTTCTGATTAAAATTAAATCATTTACTAATGGAAATGTTTCAAATACATGTACATACCATTGTTTTCATGGCCACCTAAAATGGAAAAAACATACAAATGAACTTAGAGAATTAAATGCTTTCGACCCTGAGCGATGGCTCGTGAACGTACCCCTCCCCTTTGTTCGACAAGCCCATTATATGAAAAAAAAAACACACACTAACGGAACAAATATACGGTATGACTAAGCAATGAATTAATGGCGTTGATAGCTAAATAACTCCGGGTTATATGGCCATAATAATCAACGTTGACTGGGGAACCTCTGGTAATCAATTTATAAAGTCTTTTGTCACTGTATATTATGCGAACATTTAGTTTGGGAAGGCCTTTATAGAGTACAAAACTGCGCATTGTACACGCAAATATATAGTATGTAAAATTAATTGATGTTTTGATTACTAATTATCTCCGGCTTACTAGCATTTATTAGAGACCAGGCAATGTGAAAATACATGTATCCCCACACAAATTCATGCTCTTACACCTAAACGTCCAGATTTTCATAATATAGTTATAGTTATTACTACTTACACATTCTATTGTAATCATTCCTAAGATTATCAGCTAAACTAGCTCCTTCTGGTGTAAGATCTTCACACTGTTCAGTAACAGTCTGCATACAGCTAATAAACCGCGACATACCACTATAATAAAATATCGTAGATTTTTAGATCAACCCCAACATATAACAGGTGTATAGACGTGACAAATAACTCTGCGACTGGCCGAACCAATATTTTTGAAGCCAATGCACCTTATATGTCTATATAATGTGATGATGTGTTAGCTCAAGAAATTTTGGAAAGAAATAGACATAGGTAACGTGGATTGATTTTTAATTTTTTTTTTGAAATCACATCGTTATAATATTAAAATAACAACATGGACTTTAGTAGCCTATCTCTATGTAACTCTATTTCTACGTTTTCTTTATCCTAAAAGACTGGTAGATGTAAAGAATTTTAACTTTTTATGTGTATTGGGGATACTGATAGCACCATTTCGATGGTGGGTCTTGAAATGCCACTAAAAATAAACGTTTTAAAACGACTCTTACATATTATTACCAACGTTCTCGGCAGTCGCGTCAAAAAAATACTTAGTGGCGCAAAACTATTTTATCAGTGTTTCGGATACACGTGAAAAGTTTGGAAACCTCTTTACAATCAATCATTTTAACGTAAAAACGTAAAAATCAAAATCAGACAAAGAAATTTACTTACACGCATACATGCTCACCGGGCTGTAATTCTATAACCAGTTTAGCACACTCAGTAGCTAAATCAGAACATCGTTTCTCTGTAAGACAAAATTACTTAATGTGGTGAAACATTTGATTTCATGTACAACCAACGTTGGAAATAAATTGACAGGCAACAAAAAAAAACCTCTAAGTTTAAAAATGACATCTTCCAATAATACATATCCAATTTAATAAAACTGCACATGTGGAAGAGTTTAATAGTAGTAAGGGGGTGTCAAATGGGATGAACGGTACACTATATCCAACGTTAAGTACAACAAAGCGTTAATCGGAGTATATTAAATTCCGTCGATTAACTACAATCAGCATACTTTAGAATATCAGAAATATTAAAACAGAACCTAAGAAAAATGTTGTCAGTCAGAAACACCGAGACAATGTACATGTAGATCTAAATGTAGATCAATGAAGTTCTAACCGAAGATGTTTCAGGGAGTTGCTTTCTGTAATACATGTCCTATTCCCATTCAAAATTCTGAAAACCATCTTAATCACTAATCATTATAAAGGTCACAAAAAATATCCTAAAGTTTTTATACTCAAATATATGTACTATAACTTATAAAACAAAACCTGAATTGTGATGTTT